CAAGTAAAATATAATACCATCTTCGATGCGAATATTACAGATTTAAACGCGACGACATTAGTGCACACGTGGTCGCGCGAATTCTCACGACACCGAGTCATGACCGTGACCACAACTTTCTCGGATCTGACGAGTGAGTACAACGACTACTGGAAGAATATCACGCGGCCGTTGTTTGTCGTTCTCCTCGACACCGAAAAGACCATGGGCGAGTTCGCCGAGACCACGAAGAGCGTAAAGCCCATCTCTTTTCCCATTTGGCTCGTTATGTTTCTTCAGCGTCCTGGGAATTCTCTCGAGGAGCGCTGCAGACATCCTATCGATAACGTATTCAACGTGGACTTCAGGACCCAGATGCTGGTCCTCTGCTACGCTCGTCCGATTCTAGTCGAGTGGTACGCCATTCGCGATAATCGCACCAGAACGTTCGACCTGGCCTTGTGGTCCCCCGATAGAGGTTTACTTTTAAAAACGCAAAAGTCCCTCTACGCTAGAAGGAGCAACATGTTCGGCGACGTTGTACGCGTGGCGTCCGTGATCGTAAGTTTTTCGCTCTTCCTTGAACTCCGTTGTGCGTTGCTTCTTTTGCGAATCGGAAATTGGTCGTGAGCGACGACCTTCTGAAAAATAGTCGCCTTGAAAGAAAATTACCTCGCAATTTCCCACGAAATCGATATTAGAACGATTATTTATTAATCCGTAGACTCGCGTAAATTGACTTGACAATTCTGTTGATATATGCACGAAGAACTCGCCGCTGATCTCGCATGAGAACGGTACGGTCGGCGGGTTTTTCGGTCTGTTGCTGATAGAGCTCAGCAAAGTGATGAACTTCACGGTGGAGATTCTGGATCCGGTGGAGGAATTCGGCAGCTGGAGCAAAGAAAAAATGGTGTGGACAGGTGCGATCGGCCAGTTGGTGACCAACGAAGCTGATATCGGCATCTCCGCATTCTCGATGACGACTGGTAGACAAAACGTCATTGACTATACAATACCATTGATACGTTCGCGATACCGTCTTTATTTTAAGAGGCCTAACACAGTCTTGGTGGAATGGTCTTTATACTTAAGGGTAATAATTATATATCTTTATATTAACAGTATCTATACATAAATTAGTATTAGGTGTATTAATAGTAGACATGCATTATTTAATATATGTATTTCATATGCCTATGTTAATTATACTGGCTACAATTGGATGGGTAAAAACCACAGTAGCGTAAGTCAATTTTTTTAAAATATTTGACTTACACCACTGTAATTTTTACCTTTTTAATTGTACAATGATAGAAGTTTAAAACTGCACAAAGATTTTATAATTATCCTGTTTATTTATAAAATTAAAAATGCAATTACTTAAAATTGTTTAATTACATCTCTGGGAAAAGTGTTAACATTGCACAAAAAACAGTGTTAAGATAATTCACGCTAAAGATTCACGATAACAAAGTGAAATAAATTGCTGCTTTTCTTCACCGATAAATGTTCCAGGCATTCAGCTCTGGAACTTGGATAGCATTATTAATGATAATAATAACAGCTTCTATTCTATTGACTATCATAAAGACAAAAGGATACTTTTCGAT